AAGGCCAAGGGTGGTTAATTAGCAATTAAAGGGTAAATGTGATAGCCCGAGGGCTCGCCTGCTAGCCTGTGAAGAGACGGACCACCTGCAGTCACAGGGCCCCCCCCCCCCCCCCCCCCACCGGCGGGGCCCTGTCCACCTGCTGCCTCCACTGCTGTACCACTCTCTTCTCCAGGGAGACCGAGGGGGTCCCAAGCACTGCCATCAGGGAGATCTCGGGCCCCCCCCCCCCCCAGCCTAGTAAGGCTGGTAGAGCTCCAGAGGAGGTCGGATGCTCAGCCCTGGTCGTGTTCTACCTCAAGGTCAGGGCCTTTACCAGGAAGAGGGACCTGACCCTGAGATGCAGGATGGGGACGTCTCGACTGGTGCATTCAAGTCTTGAATCCCAGGTGCCTCTGGGACCTGCAGAAGCAGCTGCTCCTCTTTGTTAAAGGCCAGCCCCCTTCTCTCTACCTGCCAGCCCCCCGCGTGAAGACAGCGCAGGAGGGCTCTATCCTGAGAAATAACACATCCTCCCTCAGGAATTGCCACCTCCTTTTTTGGCCATTAAGTCACTGCATAACCTGGCCAAGAGGTACCAGGGCCTGTTAAGGGAGTGGCTGAGACACCGACTGGTCAGGGAACAGAAACCCTATAGTCACTGGAACAGGGAAAGTTTAAAGCATTATGAACTAGTAATGGGATTAGCTGACAAGTAAAGAAAACTGAAGATTACAATAATAGCAGACGCAGGGAGCATCTACCTGTGGCAGTGTCGAAGGAAGGAACAAAACTGGAATGACCTGGCCAGGGGACGTCCACCAGCCTCTGTCATCTATTGTCCCTGTACGGGCAGCTTGGGCTCTATAATGGAGTGACCATGGGGCTGGGGCAGAGGCTACGCGTGTGCCCAACAGCGTGGTGCTCCCACTCACCAGGGCCGATCTCGCCGTTGCCTCTGTTGAATTTCCAGTGACACACTGAATTCTGGGTCCCCAATAGTACTGAACTTTGAAAACAGTCACTTGGGGGCTAGTTGGCAATACTGGACCCCTTGTGCCCCCAAAGGTGCTGTGATTCGTCTTGACTCGAATCCACATGTATTCCAGGCCTTTACCATACGCAGGGCCTCAGTGAGCTCTGTAATACAAGGCTCACAGAGCCTTTGATCCACTGACACAGAATCCTGCATAGCATCGCCCTGGATATAGGGACCCACTTTACAGCAAAGGAGCTGCAGTGGGCACATGATCGTGGGACCCACAGGTTCCGTCACAGCCACACACCCAGAAATGCCAGCCCAACAGAGTGGTAGAGTGGTGGGTAGCAGGCTGAGGTCAGGTGACCTCCAGGCTGCAGTATACACTGTACATTAGTGACCATTGTAGGATGCAGTGTCTCCAGTATAGATAATTAAGGGCTCTGGGAGCCAAAGGTGGCAGTGGGAGTGGCCCTGCTTACCATCACTCCCAACGCCCCTCCCAATAAATTTGTGTTTCTCTCTCCAGACACCTCTGGGTTCTGCAGGTTTAGTCTTGACTCCCCAGGGGAAACCCACCAGGGACAAAGGAAGAGTACTGTTCGATTTCAAGCTATAGCTGCTGCACAGTCATTTCAAGTTCTGTACTCCAATAGACTGGCAGGCAAGTGAGGTACTCTCCATCCTGCTAGGGGTGACCTCCTGTTCACCAGAGGTCAGGGCTGCCGTTACGTAATGGGGCAGGAAAGCGTCTACGTGGCACCCAAGTGATGTGATTGGCCACCTCTTGGTCCTCTGACCAAATTTGCTGGTAAATGCATTGGCCATGGCCTGAGAAGGGCATGGTGACCAGGGACTTACACCCCTCAGGGATGAGGGTTTGGGTCACGATCAGGCAAGCTACCTAGACCAGCAGAGGTGACAAGCCAGGGTGAGGGGAACCTCAGAATGGGTAGGAGAGGGAGGTGAATAGCATTTGCAGCTTTGAGGCCAGCTGCAGGACAAGGACAGGAAGTTCACCCCATTAACCTTCCTTTTAAGTTCCCTCAGGAAGAGGCCCAGCAGAGTCCCAAAGGAGCGGCTCCCAGAACATATCTGAGCTGCGCAGTGTAGTGAACCATAGGCAGGACTGTAGTGAACACTGTGGGTGCCCCGAGCCCCCCATTCATCACCCCAGCTGCTGCTCACCACACAGCCCCTCCCGATGGTTGCCTCAGCTGCAAAGAGCTTCTTTGCCCAAGGGCACACCCTTTTCCCAGGAGCAACCAGGTAGTGACTGGTGGGTGCTGGGGAATAAAGGCTCAGCTCCCTTGACCCTGTGGGGGACAACTATACAGGACCATGCCAGGTCCAGAGCAGGCCTTTGTAGCGGCCGCATCTTGGACCAGTCCTCCCTCCTTCACTCCCCTACAGACGTTGATCCTGAGAACGCTACCCCAAAACCTTTCTGAATGCAAGCCTTCATCTCAGGGTCAGCCTCCCAGGGACCAGACCTGTGCCAGTGTATGGGTATAACATACTCATGTACATAATGGGGAGATTTGGTCATTGTTTTAAAAGATGGGATCATATTTTCACAGATCTCTGCATCTTCAAGTCAACTAATACAGCTCATTCTTTTCAATGGCTCTGTGCTTCATGGTGTGGGTGTTACATAATTTATTCATCGACTGCCCTCTTGATTGGTATCTCCTTTGTTTGCAGTCCTTTGCCATAAAGCGATGCTGTCATAAATGTTTTGCTTTAAACCTGTTTACTGTTGCACACATTTCTGTGAAACAGATAGCCAGGAGTGAGGTGGTCTGGTTAGATGATTTATATATTTATATCTCTTTGTTTTTATTGAGGTTACAACACCCACACACAGACACACACACACACAGAGCACAACTACCCTAAGATTATAGTTCAAAATTTCACAAACTGGACACCCGTATAACCTTCACCCAGATCAAGAAACAGAACATTGGTAGCATCTCAGAGGCCCATCTTTCCTCCCTTTGAGTTCGTCCTTTTCGTCCCAACTGCTGAGAGTGATGTGTGGGGGTTTTTTTGTTTTTGTTTTTTTTTGGCGGTACGCGGGCCTCTCCCCGCTGCGGCCTCTCCCGTCGCGGAGCACAGGCTCCGGACGCGCAGGCGCGGCGGCCACGGCTCACGGGCGCAGCCGCTCCGCGGCACGTGGGATCCTCCCGGACCGGGGCGCGACCCCGCGTCCCCTGCGTCGGCAGGCGGACTCTCCACCACCGCGCCACCAGGGCAGCCCAGATGTGTGTATTTTTAATGTTAATAAGTGTTGACACTGTGCTTTCCAAAAGGATGCTGTAACCATTCCCATGTTTACCAGCAATGAGTGAGACTACCTCTTCTCCTCCATCTCCAATTATATTTAGCGTTTCCCTGGCGACCAGTGAGTTTGAGTATTACATCATGTTTGTTTGCTTTTTGGATTTGCCACTTTGCGTGTTGCCTCTCCCTGTCTTTTGCTCACTTTTCCATTGAATTGTTTCTTTTTTGGTCAGTGTAACTTGTATAATAAAAATATTAACCCTTTGCCTTTTTTGTCCCAAATAGTTTTCCCAATGTATTATTTTCTTTCAGAAGTGGCGCTAGTTGTACTATCCCTATTCATTAATCTATCCGTCTCTACTGCATTAAAATACCATCTTCGTTGTATATTAAATTCTCGTAGGTCCTGGGGTCAGTTTCTGGATTGTCTACTCTGTTTTAGAGATCTTTTTGTCTATTCCAATTCAAATACCTTGGGGATTTGATTACAGTGCCTTTATAGTATGTTCTGATAATCTGGCCAAGCAAGTCTTCTTTTATTTTTTTAAAAAACTTACCTTTCTGGGTCCCGCCTGGTGGTCCAGTGGCTGAGACTCCACATTCCCAATGCAGGGGTCACAGGTTCAATCCCTGGTCAGGGAACTAAGGTCCCGCATGCTGCACGGTGCAGCCAAAAAAACCCCTTACCTTTCTTCTCTATTTTCAGACATTTAATATTTCGTATGTGCTTTGAAATTATTATCTTTTTCAATTAAAAGAACCCTGTAGGGTCTCTGATGAGAATTACATTAATTTAAAATATATATTTTTATTTATTTGGCCGTGCCGGGTCTTAGTTGTGGCACACGGGATCTTCATTGCTGCGTGCAGGATCTTTTAGTTGTGGTATGCGGGGTCTTTGGTTGCGACACGCGAACTCTTAGTTGCGGCATGTGGGATTTAGTTCCCTGACCAGGGATCGAACCCAGGCCCCCTGCATTGGGAGCGTGGAGTCTTAGCCACTGGACCACCAGACAAGTCCCTGCATTAAATTTATATTTAGGAGAATTAAATATTTTGCTCATATCTCAGTGCTGTGTTTTTCCATTTGTATAGATCATGCTTTATGCCATTTTATAAGATTTTAAGTTTCCATCATTGAGTGCCTTGTGCTTTTCTTGTTAAATTAATCCTGAGTATAACTTTCCTCTATCGTAAGTGAAAGATTTCCCCCATTTGCATTTCATCGTTGTTATCGTTGCTACAGAGAGAACGTACATCCCAGAGATTACGAGCGGAGACTTGAGTCATGTTGCCTGGGGTTGAGCCCAGGTTCCATCACTTCCTGTCCAGCCCAAGCTTATTAAAATTAAAACAAAATCTAAATGAGAAGTTGTATTAATGATATTTTACTGAAGTTGTAATTGTTCCATTACAATATTATTCGGTCTAAGAATTTCTTCACCTTTAATACTTACAAACTTTCTGTAAAATGGTGAACTTGGGTTTTCAGAATCAAGTATTGAAATGCAAATACCAAGTAATACTTTTTAATAAACACTTCATGATTACATAGATCTGTCTCCAGTTAACTTGAAGATACTTTGCATAAACGTTTATTACAATGGTAGTATGCATTTTGGTTGTAAATTTTACTACATTGTTTTAATTAAGTAAATAATGAGTAAATGATTATAGAGGCTATTTTCAATGTTTAGCTAATTATATGATTTTAATTTCTTTATTTCCCTCATGCTCCCTTTCTGTGTCTTTAAAGCTGCAGAAGTGGTGGACACATCCAGTGTTAGGTATTCAGGACTACTTGAAGATGGGAAGAATCAATCACTGGAAAAAAAGGTGAAACCTTGCAAGTATGACTAATTCCAAACAGATAACTTTCATTCATTCAATAAATACTTACCAAGTGTCTACTATATGCTAGGCACTGTGGCTGCAGCGGTTAAAAAAACAAAAGGAGTTCTCCAGGAGCTGATAGTTTAATTTGTATGAGGGGACTAGGAAGACAGAGAAGCACAATATTTCTCTATGACGTGGTGAATTAGTGTCACAACAGGAGACAGGGCCAAGTGCTTTGGGAACGATAGGGGAGATGGCTAACCCAGTTTTTGTGCTGTTTCGTTCTGCTTTTTCTGGGAGGTGGGGAGAGGAATCTGGGCCGTTTGTCTGAAGTATGAACACTCTGACTTGAGGTCTAAAGGATGACTAAGAAATGGTCAGTCTAAAGATCCTCGCCTTTAGAGAGTGGGGGATGGACTTTGGGAAAATTTTTTAGGTTAGGGGAAGAGAGCTTGGAACTTTGGGGTAGTGGAAATAAAGAGAAGTTCAGAAAGAAAGGGGTATAAAATTTGCAATGGGTGAGTTACGTGGTTTGGGCTTGGGAGAGAGATGAGAAGAGGTCATGTTATTACCCAAGACCTTCTATAGGAAGCAGTGGTGGAGGTGGCATAATAGTTAAGAGAGGGGGCTCTGGAGCAAACTACCTGTGTCCAAATCCAAATCTAACTTAGTCTAATGTAAGCTCCCTTAGTAAATCCCTGGATTGATGGGGTGGTTATTTGCCCCTGAAGTGGAAGGAGCGGCATCTTTGACAGGGAAGGGACTGTGCAGCCCTTTGAAAGTGAATGGCAATTCTCTCTCCCAAAGGTGTTCAAACTGTGCTCCTTCGATCCCTAAGGCAGAGGTCTTCAAACTGTTTTGCTCCCTTTCTCACAAAAGACTTTTGAAAAGCCATGTATCTCCTGACATATTTTTAAGTTGACGTTTAAAATATTTATCACTGAAAATATTTTGTCAGTGATTCATCCTCACTCTTATGCACACGTGCAGCACACTCCCCTCCACAGCATCTCCTGTTACACGCATGGTGCCAGCGCAGGGCTGTGGTGGGAGACTTTCTAAACTAACTCCTGCCTATTCCAGCCCAGGATGCAGATATGCACTCCTACCTGGTTGAGAAAAACCACTGCTCTGGAAGACACCCCATAGTTCATTAGAAAGTTGGGTCATAGTTAATGTGAAGCTGTGTTCCCACTTTACCTTAGATGAGTTTTATCAGATTTTACTTTGGTTTAGACCTGTCTTATGAATCCATATTCTAGTGAAATATTTTCCATTTTTCTATAGAATCTTAATTCTCTTACGAGCCAGACATCAAGAGTTTCCATCAAGTTCTCTTCTCAGTCCTCCAGTATCAGACTCACAGATCAACTGTCTGCTGACCAAAGCCAGAAGAATATCAGCTCATTGGCTTCTTCCAGGTGTTTAATTCCACAGTGTGACCAAGAGGCTTCAGTTCCACAGAAAATGGAACATAAAAGAAAACACGTACCAAAGGAAAACATAAATAATGAAAACAATGAAGAAAGCATGAGTCTTAAAAGAAAACATATCACATGTAATAATTCTTCAGAGAAAACAAGTAAACTTACGACATTGGAAGAAGATGCTGATGAGGTTGAAACCTACCTAAATTCTAGGAACTCAAAGGCATTCACAAACAATTTTTGTGATATTCGGTATTTGGATGCTTTGAAGAAAAGCCAGCTGATTGAAATGCTCAAACAGGCAGTAGCTGTGGTGGTAACTCTGATATATAAGGATGGCTCAACTCAGCTGAGAGCAGACCAGGTTAGTAAACGGTGTTGGTTTTTGTTTGTTTGTTCTGTTTTGTTGGCACCATAAAAGAAACCCATTTTCTTAGTGTCTGATTTTGATAGGAGAGCAAGAAGTAAGATTTTAAGCCTTCCCCTTTCCCCCAGGGGTGAGTGACTGCATAGTTCTCATGAGGTTGTTAAGAAACTGCTGAATGTTTTCCAGAGTACGTGTACCATTTTATATTCCACGAGCAGAGTGAGTTTCCAAATTCTCCACCTCCTTGTCAATACTTGTTGTCTTTTTTATTTTAGCCATTCTGCTGTGTGTGAAGTGGTGTTTCATTGTGGTTTTAAATTGTATTTCCCTAATAACTGGTGACATTAAGCATCTCCTCATATGCTTACTGGCCATTTGTGTATCTTCTTTGGTGAAATGTCTTGAAATTCAAGTCTTTTGCTCATTTTTAAATTGGGTTATTTGTGTTTTATTTTGGATCTGTAAGGGTTCTTTATATATTTTAATACCAGTCTCTTGTCAGATATATGATTTGCAGTTCTCCAAATCTGTGGCTTGTTTTTATCAGTTTCCTGACGGTGTCTTTTGAAGCACAGAATTTTTTAATTTGATGAACTCCAGTTTACCAAGTACTTTTTTATTGCTTCTGCTTTTGTTGTTAAATGTAAGAATGCTTTGGGACTTCCCTGGTGGTCCAGTGGCTAAGACTCCGCACTCCCAATGCAGGGGGCCCGGGTTTGATCCCTGGTCAGGGAACTAGATCCCACATACTGCAACTAAGAGTTCGCATCCTGCAACTAAAGATCCTGCATGCCGCAACGAAGATCCCACACGCCTCAAGGAAGATCCTGCAGGCTGCAACTAAGACCTGGCACAGCCCAATAAATAAATAAATAAATATTTTTTTTAAAAAAAGAATGCTTTGCCTATACCAGGTCATGAAGATTTACTGTATTTTCTTCTAACAGTTTATAGTCTGAGCTCTTACATTTAAACCTGTGACCCGGGACTTCTTTGGCGGTCCAGTGGTAAAGAATCTGCCGTACAGTGCAGGGGACGTGGGTTCTACCCCTGGTCAGGGAACTAAGATTCCACTTGCCGCGGGGCAACTAAGCCCACGCACCACAACTACTGAGCTCGTGTGCCTCAACTAGAGCCCACGTGCCCTGGAGCCTGTGCGCCACAACTAGAGAAGAAAAAAAAAACAACCCACACACCACAGCTGGAGAGAAGCCTGTGCGCCACAACAAAAGATCCTGCATGCCTCAACGAAGATCCCGCGTGCTGCAGCTAGACTAACTATGGCATACCCCACCTTCCGGGTTTCCATTTCTAGAAAAGTGCTCCCATCAGTAAACCACTCAACCTCAGGGCTGTCAAGAGGCTAATCTAGAGGATCAGGCCTGCTGGAGTAAGTTTGCTCTCTGGTGTCTATGCACTGATGCACTAAGTCACTAAGTTTGCTCTCTGGTCTCTATGCGCTGATGCACTAAGTCTCCATTCTTGGCCGCTGGAAGCAAGAGTTGCTGGGTTCAGGGTTTGGCACACCTTTAAGGGAATGTCAGGGGTTCCGTTAGGAGGGCCTGATATCTTGTTAACCTTCCTCCAGTCAACTAATGATGTCCTTTGACTTCTAGCACAGATTGTACCTGATGAGGGGTTAACACATCTAAGTGTTGTCCTAGGGCGACCTTGGAAGCCTCATTAACCAATAGGGCCGTGGGTGCTACTGCTCACAGGGAGTTTGGCCCTCCCAGGGCCACCGAGTCCAGTTGTTTTGAAAAGTAAGCCACCAGTCTTTGATCTGGCCCCAGCTTTTTGGTCAGAACTCTGAGCGCCATCCCTGACCTCTCATGGAGTATAGGGTGAAGCGTTTGTCTGACATTGGAAGCCCCCATGCTGGTGTCCTACTCAACTCAGTCTTTAGAGTCTCAAAGGCCCACTGGTGGCCCCTATTCCCTTTCTTCCCCCTTCAGAGCCTCATATAGGGGTTTTGCTGTAAGGCCATAATTTGGAGTCCAGATACAATAGAACCCAGCCATCCTGAGAAAGCCTTGGAGTTGTCTCTTCGTGGTTGGAGATGGTAGTGTGCTAATTGCTGTCTTTCAATCCATGGCCAGGACTTGCGCCCCTGGGGTCAAAATAAATCCTAAATACTGAACACTGTTGTGAAATCTGAGCCTTTGTCAGAAAATTAGGACCTTAACAGTATTCTGATCTGAAACTTGCTTTGTCTCACTACTTATTAGCAGATCATCAATATATTGTAATAGAGTTCTATTTTTCAGGCTTAGTTCCCTCAATTCTTTTGCTAACGAGTTTCCAAAAAAATGGGGTCTATCCTGAGAACCCTGCAGAAGCACTGTCCAGGTGTATTGAGTAGCCTCCAGAGGGTCAGGGTCCCTCCATTCAAAGGCAAAACAGGTATTGAGGGACTTCCCTGGTGGTCCAGTGGTTAAGAATCCACCTTCCAATGCAGGAGACGTGGGTTCTATCCCTGGTCGGGGAACTAAGATTCCATCCTGGGTGCCACAACTAAGACCTGATGCAGCCAAATAAATATTATATACATATATATATATATATATATATATATATATATATATATATACACACACACTTTCCTCCCTTTCCAGAAGAAATTTTTTAAAAATGGTATTGAGATTCTGGATGTAGAGAAATACAGAAAAATGCATCTCTGAGGTCCAACACAGAAATACTGAGTGCTTCCTGGCACTTGGGCAAGGAGGGTGTGTGGGTTTGGCACCACTGGGTGAATAGGGATGACTGCCTAGCTCACTGCTCGTAAGTCTTGCACAAACCGATACTCCCCATTAGGCTTCTGAACAGGGAGGATAGGGGTGTTACAAGGGGATTGGCAGGGCCTAATGACTCTGTTTTAGGAATTTGGTGAGCAGCTGTTGGATCCCCCTCAGGGCCTCACGCTTTAAAGGATATTATCGCCAGGAGCTGGGGCCAGCTGGGGTTGTCATTTGGCCATCCCACAGGAGGGTGCTCAGGACATTCCCTTTCCCGGTGGCCCTCCTTCCAGAAAAAGGCACACTGATTCCTGCCCAGGTGGTTCCTGGGCTGCTGGTCTGGTCTTCTCAGCTGTCTAGTGTCCCCTCAAGATGGCAGGTGGATCAGAGCAGCTAAGAGCTGTGTTTTCTTTGTTAATCTCCTATCCGTGTTGGCCTCCTTTGCCATGTCCTCGTCGTTATAGACCTTGAAGGCCTCCTCTACCAAGGTTGACAATGGGGTTTGGGGCCCAGCTTCAAGCTTTTGTAATTTCCTCCTGATATGAGGAGAGGACTGGGTGATAAAATGCTTGGCCAATAGTGACCTCCGTTCTGCACACTCAGGGTCTGTATTGGTGTACTTCCTGAATGCCTCTGTCACCCGACTCAGGAAGACTGCTGGGTTTTTATCTTTTTCCTGTGTAATCTCTTGGACCTTATCATAATTTACAGGCTTCACCATATGCCTTTTCATTCCTTCTGATAAACAAGTAATATAACGCCTCATCCTGGCTTGGCCTCCGTGATCCTCACAATCCCAGTGGGGGTCCTGTTGTGGGATTGCGTCACCAGTTCAATAAATCTGGTGCTGCGGGTTGGTGGCCACTAAGCTGGCTGTATGTTCCCTGGCCTTTCTTAGTATACATTCCTTCTTGTCCAGGGGGCAACAGTGGCTCAGAATAACTGTAATTCTTGCCATGTCAGGGAAAACATTGACCCCAGCATGGTAAATTTGTCCCTAAACTTGTCAGGGTTCTAGGAGAACCTGCCAAACCCCTCCTTACGGATTCCTAAGTCTCCCATCAGGAAGGAGACATGCACTCTAGTAGTTCCCTATTCCCGTCAGCTACATCCCAGAGGGGGTAAAGGCCCTGTGGTGTGAAAGTGGGGGCTAATTTTAAACCTGATCAGCTCCCCACTGGGAACAGCACTGGGGGCTCTGGTTTCAGGGCTCCTGGCTAAACGGGGTAAGGTGGGGCTCGAGGGACTGAAGGTGACGTTGAAGGGGAAGAAGCCCAATGAGAAAGAGGCCCAATGTGCCAATGACTAGTTGGCGGTTGAAAGGGGATCCGTGAGAAAGTCTGGCTCTAAATCTTCTGGGGACAAAACAGAAATAGAGGCCACACACACAACCGGAATCCCTCAAACCGGGATCTTGATAAAGTTTCATAAAGGCCTGCACGTAAGGGACCTCCCCCCATTTGGGGGACTGCTTACAATATTTTGGTCCAGTTGTAAAATGGTGCTAAAGTTAAGGGATCCATTCTGTGGCCACTTATTCCGGTCACCCAAGGCATATTGGGGCTAGGCTGTGTTGCAAAAGAAGGTTTTTAAACCATCTAATTTAAACTGTCCCGAATTTTTAATCTTTGGGGGCATTTCCCATGTTTACATATAAATCTGACGGCTAACAAACTGAGATTCTGGAGCTGGATGGAGTCCTCAAGACCCGGCATAACAAAGCCAAAGGGTGAGATGACAAAGGAGATCTAAGAACTCCCTTCCCCACAGTTGAACACACAGGACAGAGAAATACTGGGGGGTTGTGTAAAGTTCACCTCAACAGGGGCCTCGGGGGCTGGGGGTTTAGATGTATGAAGTAAGGAAAAAGGAATAGGAGAAAGAGAGAGAGCCTGCTGTTTCAGCCTGCCCCTCTGCGTGCGTCTATTCAGGCAGTTCCAGCCTGCCGTGCTCTTCCACAAGGGCCAGTGGAGGGAGGCACTCCGTCCACCACCCACCAGGGTGATCAGACCCAGAAACCAGTGCTGGTGGGACTCTAACCCACAACTGGGACTTTAACCCAGGAAAAAGAAGTTGAGAAGTTTGTGATGACTGGGCTTCCAGCCACTACACAGTATGAGGATTGAACCTCTGTCACTCTCAGAAGTCTCCCCTCAAGGAAAGCCCACCGGACCAAGATCTGCACGGTATGAGGCAAGCCTCTCCCACCTCTGTCACCTGTCAGGGTGAGCCGGTGCCAGCAGAGGGAGCATGGTCTCACCAACTAAGGAGTTAGGCTGTAGTTGCCCAACACTCACTTCTCAGAAGGATGTGACAGAGAAGTAGGAGAGGACAGAGAAAGGAGTTGTAGAGAGAGAGAAAGAGATCAGAGGGGGAAAATGGACAAAGGGAAAATGGAAGGGGAAAGCTGCCTGAATGAGGATAGTGACACCCCTGGGGTAAGGAAGGCAGACTTACCAATCCCTGCAGCACTGAAGCAAAGATTCAGGTGGCCACGTGTCAGCTGCAAGGAAGCTGCAATCAGCTGTACCAGATGGGCCCAGATCCTCTCTCAGAGGGGCAAGGAAAAAAAGAAGGCCCCACAGGTCCCAGGAGAGTTGCCAAAAATTGTTACCAACCTGGGCCCTTGGACTCTTTGATCAATAGAAATTGACAAGAGGCCAGATGAGAATTTCAGGTAAGGCTTTACTGGGGCTCCTGCTACAGCACAAGGGAGCAAGAACAAGAGGCAGGTTCCCTTGCCTGCCCCCTGAGAGGACCTACTTGGGTCCTTAAATGGGGTAAAAATGGGGGTGGGTCTGTGGGTTGGGCATAATGCACAGCTTAGGGGTCTGTCCACCCCCTTGGTGGTGCCATGTGCAGAGATCATGCACTGTGCCCTGCTTTTGCTCCCAGCACCTCAGAAATGGCAGCTTGTTTGTGGCCTTTTTGTATCCTATTGCTTATTATTGTCCCAGCTTGCCCATGCATGCAGTTATTTTTAGTCACTTATAGTTTCTCTGTATGCTTTTGCTCAAGGAGACATTTGTCCAGGTGCAAGCACTCTGGTAGAGGATCCCAGGTCCCGGCCTGGCTCAGTTTTGCCATCTTAGCAGTATTGCATTTCTTATCCATGAACAGGGGGTGCCCTTTCATTTATTTAAAACTTCAATTTCTTTTAGCAATGTTTTGTAATTTTCAGTGTAGTGTATAAATCTTGCTTTACCTTTCACTTTTGAAAGGCATTTTTATGGGGTAAAGAATTATAAGTTGAAAGTTTTTTTCTTTCAGTAGTTTAAAGATGTTATGCCGCAGTCTTCTAACTTGCTTTGTTTCCCATAAGAAATCTGCTATCACCCTTATCTTTGTTTCTTTCTAGGCAATGTGTCCCCTCCCCCCTCCCCAGCTTCTTTTAAGGTTTTCTCTTTATCACTGCTTTCAAGCAATTTGATTATGATGTAACTTGGTGTAATTTTTTTCCTGTTTCTTGTACTTGGAGTTTATTGATCTTCTTGGTTCTACAGCTCAGCTTGGGAGAATTGACATTATTATTTTGAGTTTTGTAGTCCTTAAACATGTATGTGTCTCTGTTATGGAGATCTTCTCTGATTTCTTTCATCAGTATTTTATAGTTTTCAGTATACAGATCCCATACATGTTGTATTGATTTCTATCTAAGTATTTAACTTGGTGGAATAGTTATTATAAATGATAATTTCTTTTTTAAAAAGTTTATTTGTACATGTTCATTGTTAGTGTATGGAAATATAATTGATGTTTGTATTTTGATCTTATATCCTGCAACTTTGCTAAACTCACATATTAGTTCCAGGAGGTGTTTTGTTTTGTTTTGTTTTGTAGATTCCTTTGGGTTTTCTACACAAACATTTATGTTATCTGTATACAGGGACAGTATAGTTCTTCCTTTCTAATTTATATGCCTTTTATTTCTTTTTCCTGCTGTATTGCATTGGCTAAGACTTCCATTATGATGTTGAATAGGGAGGAGACCAGATTTGGAGAGTGAGATCATGGGTTTGGCTTTTGACTTTGAGTGTCATTAAAAGAGGTGTTCATGTACAAGTTTTAATTTTAGGCCTTTTCTTTCTGCTTAATTAAAAAATATGACAGATCTTTCTTGAATAAATGCATTGTTTATGTTTGATTTTGGAACTTTAATTTATTGTGTATTCACAGGCTCTGGTTTCCTCCGTTGAAGGCATTGTGATGTTACCAAGGAGCCATGCAGAGAAAGGCAGTGGTCCTCTGGCTGCCCCAGCCCCTGACAGTGTTCTGGAGGAAGGCTTCATGCCCAGTGATCAGTGTATCTACATAAAAACTGAGCCCTCTTCTATTTGGGGCCAAGAAGAAGAGGCACATCATCAATTTGCCAGGTAAGAAATCTTCACTAATTACCTTAAATCCTATTTATTCACCTGCTTTATCCTAATTTAGAATTTCCCAAGCTCCAGTTTTAGTTATTTAAACTTTCAGAGGTTTTGTATGATCACATGAAAATAAAATGGATCTAAATGACAGAAACCGCTACAAACACCCTCTCTCCCTCAAAGAGCTTCTGGAATGGAGGGTCCGTCCATGGGAGCCTGCTCCGGAATTTGAGTCAACATCGCAATGAGAGGTTGGTGAGAAAAGCATCATCTTAAGGCGTGAAAACCCACTGTCGCTGCTGGGGCCCTGGCTGATTTCCTCATTACACTTGTTCTCTCACTCACGGCCTTAGAAAATGAAGTTAACACTGCCTTCAAAGAGTAAATAGTCCTCAGTACCACCAAGATATTACTAATTTCAAAGCTTCATTCTGTGAAAATAGAGAAGAAATGTCTCACTTGTATTTGCCTTCCTAGAATCTTAGAATTTCAGAACAGGCAGGGATGCTTCTGCGGCCCCTTCTCAGTCCTGAAAAGTCTCGTCGTGGGTTGGAGCCTGTGCCCCTCATCACTGTTTCTTTGCTCACATCGTCAGCCTGACTCACTTCTGCTTTGGGTGGGGGCATCCACTTCCTGTTTTCCCAGCCCTCTGAACTCAAGTCAGTTAGGTGCCTGGAAGGAGCTCCTTGAAGCCACTGCCCTGCAAGGAGGCTTCGGGTGAGAAGGTGGGGGCTTGGTCCTGGCCCTTCCTGCCTAATACATTTTCGCTGGGCTCTGGGTGGGTTTTAGGTAGTTGTTGTGTCAGTTCCAGCCTACAGAGAGTGATGCTCTCTAGGCTGGGAGTGCCTGTGGCACTGGTTCCGCCTGTATTCCTCACACCAAGCCCCCACAGACATTTCTTCCATAGGGGCCAGCGCTGTAGCTGGACCAGCCCTTGTGGTTCTTATGATCACAGGACACGCTTCAGCAAAAACCATTAGGCAATTTGAGGAACAAGATTTATCACTCACAAGTTCTGGAGAGTACACAGAGAGGTTATGGGTAGAGAAAGAGAGAGAGAGAGAGTGCATGGACCTGGGCCTCTGCCTTTATTAGGGTTTGAAGGTGGGGTGTCTAGGTTTTCACGGATTCACTCATTACTGGCTAATTTAAAGCATAAGAGCAGGAATTAGGGCACAGGAAGGTTGAGAAGCCGTGTCATCACACAGTCAGTTATCTGGGTTACCCAGGGCTTTCTGGAAGAGGGAGCTTCATCTGGTTCTTTCTCTGGTTGTTTTGCCAGCAGCTGTGTTGCATAGCTGGCAACATGTCTATTCAGGATGGATGTCTTTGAAATGGATGCCCTGGCAATCAAAGCGTGATGTCAGGCATGTACACCACAGTGTGTACATGGGATGATGTTTGACAGTAGAGCACTCTGCTCCCAAGAACCCATAACCTTTTGTTTCCTTAATTTTCTTTTGAAAGAACAATTGGGCAGGCTTTTTCTATGGAAGACCTCTGTGAGAATGGGGCCCTAATATTTGGACAGCGCTTTCTGAATTCTGGATTTATATATTCTACTCGACATTCTCCACTTGGACATCTGATGGTCACTTCAGCTCCGATCCTCCCTGTGCCTTTTGTTTAGCAGATGTGGCATAATTGACTTCTGTAACTGACTTAGAAAATCCACTGTGTTTTAGCCACTTTGTCTTACAAGATATTCTTTGTGTCGCATGTCCTTTCTTAAGCTAGAAATCAGCTAGGGTTTGTCTCTTAGTGGGAGAGATCATAGTTGTTAGATGGCCTTATTGAGAGCTTCCGGGTTTCCAGCTACAAGAGCATCAAAGTGGGAGGACGCTCCAGTAGTCCCAGCTTAACTCCCTCATAAGCTGCCCCCACTCCTACACACCTCTCCAGGTCCAGCAGAGGCAAGACCTGAAGCTGTGCTGTCAGCAGTGGCCCTCTTCAAGGAAAACCAAAGTGAAAGCACACTAAAAAATGCAAAAAGCCTGAAAATGTCTGCCTGCGGAGCAAGCAGAGCTAATCGGACCCCAGGTTTCCTTCCTCCTCAGCCTATCTGAAGACCCTCACTGATGTATTAATAAGCAGTTACCATAAAGGGGGATTAATACCTTGGGCCCTGGCAGCAGCAAGCTTGGGTCTCAGACCTCAGCTTTGCCACTTCTCAGTTGTGTAAGGCTGGGAAAATTGTTTCGCCCCTCCGAGCCTCAGTTTCCTTATCTGTAAAATGGATCTAGTGCCTGCCTAATGGGATTATGATGAGGTTTCAACACAACTGTGTGTTTAGTGTGGTATTCGCACATGGTAAGTGTTTGATAAACGTCAACTATTATGAATCCCATATTCAAGGAGCTCGTGATTTAATGGGCCAAGGTAAATTACAGTATCGCAGATGTGGTCCCCGCTGTAGCAGGTGTGTGGCCAGGAGTACTAAAGGAACCAGGAACCGGGCAACTCCCTGCCCAGGGAATCAGGCACCTGAGCAGTTTGTAGAAATTGTGGGAGGGAAATTTTAGGCAGGAATACAGCATGTGCCTGTGGCCCTGGAGTGTGAGAGGACGTGCACAGTCTGGTGATGGAGGAAGGAGAATCCAGTGTGGGCAGAGGGTAGACTGGGGGTGTGCTGGGAGCGCAGGCTGGGGCCCGCTGGGAGGAGTCCAGGGTGCGTCAGCTCTGTTCAGGAGCTGGAGGCTGAGTCTGTAGGTGGTTGTGCTGCACCCAGGGATTGGCTCTGAACAGTTGTGTGAACTTGAGTTCATTACTAGCCTCTTTGTGTCTTGGCTTCATCATCTGTAAATTGCAGATAATAAGTAACACCTACAAAAAATAACGCAGGAGACTGCATATAAGAAGTTTATTTGGGGTCTTAAGAATTGCAGTTCGGGAGACAAAGATTCAGGAACCCCCGAAAGAGTG